GATATACATTTTAGCAGTGGATTACGTTTTACAATGTCATATACTGTTGAACGTCTTATTTTTTAAATTGAATCACGCCCAGCAATATGGGATAGTAGGACCAAAGAATATTCTAATGGAATAATAAAACGAAATGCTTGGGGGGAACTATCTGCAGCGTTGGAACCAAACTTTGAAGAGAAAACAAGTGCAGAAACATGTCTAACAGGTATGTTGATTGATGATTTTACTGTACATTATACCTACAGTAACAAATAAAAAACTTTTAAATTTTATTTTATATCTTTTATTATGCATATTTTGATTGCCATGGAAGTGCCCCTGCATCACTCACAAAGTAGTCAGCAAAATTGTCGCGGATATCATATGCCGCTTTATTTCTTGTGCTCGGTATTAGGTTACCTACAGTATCTTGAGTGCCATTTGTTGTCGGTGAAATATAATTATTCTCTCTTTGACGAACAAAATTATGTAAGACACAACAAGATTTTACAATATCTTCGCACAAATCAATTGACACATTTAGTGGTCGGTGGAGGATCCTCCATGTATTAGCCAGAATCCCAAATGCACATTCGATATGGCGGCGGACTCTGGATAGTCTGTAATTGTAAATTGTTTGTTTTGGTGACAAATTGTTGCCACTATATGGTCTTTGCATATTTTCTTCCAATCTAAAAGCCTCATCGCCAATGAATGTTAACGGCAATGGCTCGCCTGAACTATGTAAAGGTCTGGGTTTAGGAATATTCAATGACTTTTCATTAATCATTTTGTATAGTGTACTGTTTTTGTATATTTGCGAATCTGCACTTTTTCCGTAAGAACCCACGTCAATAAAAATAAAATTAAAATCTGAATCGCAAACTGCTAATAGCACAAGAGAAAAATAATGCTTATAAGTAGTAGCCACTGTGAGCCGGATGAAATACTTCTATATGTTTGCCATCGATAGCACTTAGAAGATTAGGAAAGTTTGTGGTACTATTGAAGCCTTTCGCAATTTTCAACCATTCTTCTTCAGATGTTGGTGGCATGCATACAAATTTCAAAGAATTCCATATTGTTAAACAAGTTTCCCGCACAATGCTTGATACTGTAGAAATCCCACATTTGTATGAATAATGCAGCTCGGTAAATGTGCATCCCGATGCTAGAAACCTGCAACAACTTCTATGTTATATTTAATTTATACATTTATTAAAATACTTGTTTCAGGCACTACTATTCAGAAAAAATGGAAAAGCATCAGAGATGCATTCTCACAAGAACTGAAGAAGAATCATTTAAAAGCGGTTCTGGAGCCAAAAACTCAAAGCCTTACGCCTATTTCAATAATCTATTGTTTTTGCAACCACTGTATGAAACAAAACCTAAAAAAGACGAACAAGGAAATACAGACGACGAAATTGTAAACATTGAAGATGGCATTAATGATAACGCTGATAGTAATGATGCTTCAGATATTACTGTTGAAACAACTAGGTCTAGCTCGTCAGGAAAAAGAAAAATGAAGAAAATTTGTTCAAAATCTTAGCAGATAATATTATAAATAAAAAGAAAAGAAATATGGAACAGCAGACAATGATGATCCGGACAAACAATTTTTGTTAGTAGTAAATTTGATTTAAAATATGATATAATGAGTGTTATGAAGAGATATAAAGATTATAATAAGTCATATTAAGAATACGGTTATCGAACAGGAGCTACTTCTATGAGTAGTCAGTATTCAAATTCGACATCAATCGCAAGCCCCCCACCCGGTTCGTCTACTACATTGCTATCTACTTCTACTACTTCCAACATTCATAGAAATTCAGAGCACCAGTTCCCGGAGGATGGTGAAGAAATTTTTCAAGATTTGTTCATAAATAATAACTAATTTCGTAAATAAATTTTGTAAACGTAAACATTTGACTTTTAATACTCACCTTATAGTGATCGCAAGCCTCTCTTCAGCAGATATGCTTTTCCTTAACACAGTATCTTTATGCTCTAACTGTGATTTTAATATATTTAACAATACATCAAAAGTGCTCAAAGACATTCGAAAGTAATTTTTGAATCGTTTAGAATCACTTCGCAGTTCTGGGTAAAGTGTATTAAAGTGACCGGTCATCAGTCTTGATGCAACTATCGGTGACACCCAGCATTTTTTTCGTCGTCTCAGTCGACGGCGAATAAGTAACGCAAATAGTAATGTTTCTTCGTCAGAATCCAAGTTGATACTGACACGACACCACCGGTGCGAGAGAACACGCAGAAATATGCCCATTTACGCAAGTATGATTTTCAGAAGCGTGTATTGTAGCGCGCGTATAAGCGCGTATGCTGAAACGACCGTATACGCGCAAAAAAAAATGCTAGCCTGAAACCGCTATAACTAGTAAATCTAAAGGAGGTTTGTTTGATACCGCGTATCCCTATGATTCCAACTGATATGCCATTCGAGTTCAAACGATTACAATATCCTGTCGTTTATCATTTGCGATGTCCATCAACAAGGCCCAAGGACAAACACTTCACGTTTGTGGTGTGAATTTGGAAGGATCATGTTTTTCACATGGCCAACTTTATGTTGCCTGTTCCAGAGTCGGTACCCGGTACCCGCAGCCGTTTGTTTATTCACACGCAAAATGGAAAAACAAAAAAAATATTGTTTATCCAAATGTTTTGGATTAAGTTTTTAAATAGCTAGCAACTAAGTAATATATTTTTTTAAGAAATGAATCGATGTTTCTACTGATTTTTGTATTATTTTACTTTATACGTAGCGAAGCACGTACCGGGCCGCTAAATGTATAACATCTTAGACTTGCCATAAGGCAAAAATTGCTTTAGGTACGTGCAGTCGTTTGGTCGGGAACAACTGGGGCTTGAGTCTTAGTATGGTTTTATGGGTGTACAACAGCATAGTTAGGCCGATTCTCACCTACGCCTCTATTGTCTGGTGTAAAAAGGCCAACCAAAAGTCGACTGCGGACAGATTAAATAGTATACAAAGAACTGCCTGCTTAATTGCAACTGGAGCTATGCGATCATCGCCTAGAGCGGCTCTTAATGTTCTTGCCACACTTCTATGCCTAACGCCCCTTGATCTATATCTAGACAAGGAGGCGAGGGCTAGTTTGTATAGGATTAACGCCTATTGCGGTCTGAGCTTGCTCTCCCACAGATTGAGATCTATGCTCGACTCAATTAAGGAATCACCGGTCTTATGCATGATCTCAGATATCATGCGTCCACACACACTTTTAATAAAAAGTATAAAAGAATTACCCTACAGAGAAGATTGGCTAAATGGCCAGGTTACCTGTGAAGTCGGTAGCCGTGTTCGGTACATCATATGGTGTACCGATGGGTCTAAAATGGGCCTCGACGTAGGCTTTGAAATTTTCGGGGAACGCCCCAAATTCACACTTTGTTTGTATTTGGGTAGATACACCTCTATCTTCCAGGTAGAAATTTTCGCCATGTTTCGGTGTGTAGAAATCAATCTGCAAAAACACTATGTGAACCATATAATTTACATAAACTCTGATAGTCAAGCAGCACTGCTAGCGCTGAGGTCAAACTTAGTGAACTCAAAGCTAGTTGGAGACTGCGTGAACCGTTTAAACGCCCAGGGATGTAACAACAGGGTCGTTTTAAGATGGGTTCCGGGTCACGAGGGTATTGTAGGCAATGAATTTGCCGACAAACTTGTACGGGAGGGCTCAAAGTGCACACAATTTGGACCTAAGATATTTTGTGGAATCTCAAGAAGCCTAGAGAGATTGACCCTTGAAACTCTTTATCACAATAAATCACTTAAGATCTGGTCTGACCCACCAGGCTTAAAACATTCTAAAACCTTAATCCGGGATTTTGATCGTAAATTCGCTTCAGAAGACCTGGGATTAAGTAAAAATAAATTGCGCATTCTGGCAAGAGCCCTAACTGGACACTGTTGTCTTAAAAAGCACATGTCCATCCTGGGACTAAGCAACTCAAGGATGTGTCGGTTCTGTTCCATAACGGAAGAAACGCCTCTACACATCCTAACTGATTGCGGACCCTTAATGCGCAAACGTAACACTCATCTGGGAAACTATGTACTCCGCCCAGAAGAAGTGAAATTGCTCACAGCTAAGCAACTCTTCATTCATTTCTATTCATTAAAGCGGTCTACACACCAAAGCCGCTGACCCGGCGGCACGGATCGCCGGCCCAACCCGGCGGCCTTATTTTGTACAATCATGCCACCGGTTCCCCGACATAACAGCCCCGGACAGAATAGCCCCGACAAAACAGCTCACCGACAAAACAGCCCCCGTCAAAACAGCCCCCGACAAAACAGATAAACAACAACCAGACAAAACATAAAAGTATAATAATAAATAAATAATTATAAAACTAAGTAAGTAATTTACGAAATATGATCGTTGTAGGTAGTATAATATTATTACTTTGCTAGTTGCATTGATAATCGTGCTTTTTATCTTCAGAGTATATTACATAATGAAAATATAATATAATAATAATAATTATTTCTGTGAATATATTGTGGAATTTTATATTCAGCTTTCAATTTAATTAACTTACCTATTATGAGTAGGTTCCAAGAAGGGGCGATTTACGTTTCGGCCGATTAGCAGATTTGAATAAATGTTATAATAACTTATAGTCCGTTCATCGCTTTAAGAAAGTAATTTGTAATGTGTTTACAATACATATTGTACCTCTTGCGGCGATAATCCTCTTATTGCTATTGAACGAGTATGGGTCATTTAGAAATACATGGGAAGTGTTAATAAATTACTTATTTTTAATTATTCTATAATTGCAGCACCAGGTAAGGGGATAATCCCCCGTAAAAGAAAAGTTAGTTTCTTAAACCGATGAACGGACTATACCTATTATGAGTAGGTTCCAAGAAGGGGGGATAAAGTAATATATAAGAACATCGGGACACACAAAATAACTATAGTCTTGTAGAATTTTGTCTGGTGAAGATCATGGAACTTATTCAATCGCAGAAAGGCAAAGATTTACTGTTGAGCGGTGGGTACCGGTATCGTAAGGCGAGAACTAATACCGATGGCAGTGTATCATGGAGATGCGCCGAGACAGCTTGCCGAGGACGTGTCAAAGTGTCATTGGAAAATGTCGTGGTAAATGTGACTCGACAAAGTCATGCTCCAGATCCAGCTAAAAATGAAGCAAAAAAATCTGTGTCTAATATGAAATGGCGAGCAGCGGACACCCTTGAGAAACCAAGGCAGTTGATTCAAGGATCGACAAGAGGGATAAATTTGGAAGCATCAGTCCATTTGCCATCGTACAATGCATCTCAGAGAACTGTTGAGCGTATTCGGCAAAGGGGTGAAGTGTCGTGCCCAAACCCAGGCTCTGTTGCCGATATTAATATTCCTGTTGCACTACAAGTCACTTCAAGAAATCTAAATTTCTTGTCATGGGATTCTGGACAGAATGATCCTCATCGCATCTTCATGTTTGGTACTAAATAAAATTTGGAAGTTTTAGAGGAGCACCGGCACTGGCACGTAGATGGAACCTTTAAAGTAGCCCCATAATTATTTTTACAAGTATTTACCATTCATGCATTGGTAGATAACCGTTCTATTCCGTTGATTTACGAGCTTCTACAGGATAAACGAGAAGAAACATATGTTCGAGTGTTTCAAAAATTGATGGAGTTGAAACCCACTTTAAATCCAATAAGCTGCTTATCCGACTTCGAGAAAGCGATCCAAAATGCAGTTTGCCAGGTATTTCATGGTGTTCAGGTGATGGGTTGTTTATTCCACTTAGGGCAGTGTTTATGGAGGAAAATCCAAGAGCTACATCTTGTAGAAGAATATCGCAATGACGAAAATGTGAGAATGCATTTGAAAATGTTACTAGCGTTATCTTTTGTCCAAGAGGGCGACGTAATCACTGCTTTTGAGGAGCTAACCGAAAGCTGTCCACGAGAAATTGATGCACTCATCGATTACTGGGAAGATACTTATATAGGACGGCAAAGAAGAAATCGGAGAGCAGATCCAAAATTTCCCATTCATGTATGGAATGTTCATGATAGAGTGCACCAGGGCCTTCCGCGTACAAACAACTCTGTAGAAGGATGGCATTATGCTTTCCAACACACCGTTGACTGTCACCATCCATGTATTTTCAAAATAATAGACCACTTCAGGAAGGAACAAGACCGGGTAGAAATAGAGTTGGAACGTTTTCGAGCCGGCTTCAGAAATCCCGAAGCTTCCAAAAAGAAGTATGTGCAACTTAATCGTCGATTGGAAACTCTTACGGGAAATTATAACAACGACGACATTTTACCGTATCTCCGTGGAATTTCCAACAATCTGACATTATAAATTGATATATTATTATATAACTTCATTTATTTTTATTTTATAATAATTATTAATAATTGTAACCTTTGTAATTAATAACCTTTGACGAATATAGTTTGTAGAATTTTGTTTGTAAATATACATTATAATATAATTTTATACCTACATTTATTTTTGTTTTTATTTCGTGTGTAGACGATGCAATAGTTTTGTTGAAAACAAAAAATACATAAAATGAACCAAAAAAGTCACGTAAAGTATTATTAACATTCGTTTTACACCACTTAAAATTTTTTCAATAATTTCTTGCTAAAACTCACAATAGAAAAGTTTCCCATATATCGCCAACTGAAGTAAATACACGGTATAAGTATAGTAATTATGTGGGCTCCAGCCAGAAGTTTAAATCACAACCCAAAAAAAAACAAAAAAGAGTCCCCCCCCAAAAAAAACACACAAAAACCAAAAAAAAACCTGGTTGCAAAAAAAAAAAAATTCCCAAAAAGGAAGGCCCCAAAACCACCCCCCCCCCCCACCCCCACCAAAAAAAGCAATCTTTATTTAAAATATATTTAATTTACAATAATTATTACAATTAATTATTACAACTAAAAGAGGTGACTCTAATTCGAAGTTTGAATCTAGAATGAATTCACACGGTAAAATATCAGAACCAGGTAATATTACACAGTACACACGTTGTGCTGACTCGGTGCCTCGTGGTTGTCGTAAGCTGATGCAACGCTGCAGATTGCCTAGATTAGGGCTGCGTAACACCTCCCCCCGAAGAACAGCGACTATGGAAGACCTTGGTCGTGAATTGAGCTGGTAGTTGATCGGGATCAACCTTCTCAGTGCTTGGAACTGCGTATATCTTTAATTATTTAGGATGGTCTTCTTCTGTATTCCTTTGCGTACTTTCAATTGGCTTCAACTTGTACTTTCTATATAACATGCATAGAATCAGTGCACCTGCACTTATTATTAATGCGTAAAATTATATTGTAGTATGATATAGACTGTGGTCATCGTTCCTGCTTAGATTCACTGGTGATTGCTGGGATATTTTGGCGTTCGTCGCATGAAGATGTTGAAGGTTTATTGAATTTAGTTTATATGCCGAAATAGGAGATGGGATGCTGATGTTTTCCTCAGGTATGTCCATTATTTTTAAGGCTTGTCCCTTCAATCGGTCTTTAGTGTTTGAGATCGAGAATAGAGGCGTTTCTATGTAGCATTTCAGAGGGACAACAACGAGATAACTACCTTGAAGTATTTTGTAGAGATCTTGGCCACACGATAGATGTACTTTCGTTGGTGTAGGGAATGTGATGGTGTAATGCTTGTCGTCCAGTTCTTCGTAAGCCGGTTTATCCAAGGTGACTGTGAGCGGGTTACATACTGCATTCGTCTTTTGTTTTGTGATGAGATGATGGATGCAATCAGGAGATGTTTGACCTCTCAGGCTCCGCTTATCCTTACAGATGTACCATTTACTGGTCTTCGGGCATTCTGCCTCTATGTACTGAAAATCTTTCTGATAAATGGCTAGGAATGGATGGGGTGGTGTAAGGATTTCGTTTTTCTTGTTAGGAACAATAGATAACTTATACATATCATATATATGGGGTAATAGAATCGGGAACTTAAATACTATAACTATTTCATTTCCTACATAATATGAGCCTAATCTAATAATGTCATAATATTCTCTAATATCTAAATCTCCTACCTTCTTACCTCCATAAAGTTCGGTTGCACGGTTAATCATTATTCGGATAGATTCTAAATTGGCTATAGAGTGGTGCATAGTGTTAGCTCTTATAAATGCTAAGTAATTCTGTAATTTAATTAATTCCTGTGAGATGGAATCAACGTTATCACTAAGGATCATTAGTACTTGTGCAAAATGGGCATATTTAATTAAATCGTAGTCTCTAGTAGCATCGGATTGATTTATTTTACCTATTAATATTTCCAATTTATTTTGATTATCCACAATGCTATCTATTATTTTGGAATATTGATTTGTCAAATCTTTAGTTAAGCACGTGGTTATTAAATTCCGTTGCCATTTTATTTTCGTCTTCGCGGATGGATTTTATTACGCGATTAAAATCATCTGCATCTGTACAATCAAGGTTACCGGTTATACTTTTTATAATGGAACCGAGACCCACAAGTCCTCTTTTCTCACGGTTCGTTTTAAAGCTTTGCAACTGTATAGAGACGCTTTCAAGCTTATTTTTAAGATAATCAATATGAGGCTGAAATAAGGAATTAGTTATATTGTTAAGGTTAGGAGTAATACTAATTAACTGTGTTTTAACAGAATTTACTTTGTCTCCTAATTCTTGAAGATCTACATATTTTAGAAATGCATGGTAGTGGGATAGGATTCGAGTGGGGCCTAGTTTGAAGGGTAATATACCAGGTCCGTCACTAAGACTTTCAAGTCTTATCTCCTGCATTAGAGCTGGTCCCAGAAGGAGATGAAGTACCAGGAGAGTCCTGTAACAATTGGTTCGTTTTAGGTATTCTCTTTAATCGGGTTTTTGCTATGGGGCCTCGTTTTTTCTTTGTATAGATGTGAATTGGGAGATTTGCCATTACTGTGTCGTGTGTGTATCGAGGAGCTAATTTCTGACGGGATGCGAATGGATTCTTTATAAATATTTGTTGTTCCGGGGAATACTCAGCTTCCGGTTCGCGGTTTTTATTGCGAATATTAGTCAAGTCTTTACGCATGTCGTTACATAGGTCGTGAATAGTTTTATAGGTCTCAGTCATTCTGTCTTTGTGGTTTACTACATACTGTTGAAGTAGATGGGCGGACAGATCTATGTCAAAAGGATCGCGAGGGTCAAAATGTCCTGTGATTACTTCTATCGGTTTGCATTTTGTAAAGCTGTGTATACTATGATTGTAAGCTAATAGGGCATAAGGCATAAGGTTAATAGCAGATTCATTCTTTTGATTTATCTTTAAAATACGGAGATGTTCTAATATGGTGGCGTGGAATCGTTCAACAATACCATTTTCATTAGGAGCATGTGGGGCTACTCTATGGTGCTGAATTTTATGCAGTTTAACGAATTCTGCAATAAGTTGGTTGGTAAACTCCGGCCCATTATCGGAAACTATGGTAATCGGAATGCCATGATGTGTGCAGAAAATCAGCAAAGCTTGTACTACACTGACAGCAGTGCCGTCTCGCAGGTAGTAAGCTTGAGCATATTTAGAAAAAGAATCTACTATTGTTAAATATTTTTCCCCTTGAATGGTCAGTAAATCTACATGAATTAATTCAAAAGGCTTAGAAGCTGGTGGTACAATTTGGAATTTCTGTTTAACAGGATTGCGGTCGTACTTAGCTTGTCCGCATACTGTACAGTCATTAATAAATTTAGTGATATGCTCTCTCATTTTCGGCCAGTAATATTTACGGGATAAGGCCGAGAAACACTCGTTAATGCCTCGATGGTTCGTTTTTCCATCGTGATATTTATGAATGATTTCTTGCTGTCTTAGATATTCCCTAACGTTTTCCAATTCACTTTTTGTTAGAAAGAGGTTAAGAGATGAACTTTTAAAAGTCTTTTGTATAATTGGTATAACAGTGTACATAGCAGATGTTGGATTGATAAGTAATCCTGTCCTAATTTTTGGATGGACGTATTCTTTAATAGCGTTAACGACATCTTCCTCTATGTTCGATTGAGCTATTTGAATAGTAGTGGGAGTGTGTGTTTCGAATGGCTTAGTGACAACTGGTCTTGCTTTTATGTCCCCTACTATATTCAAAATTATCTGCTTAGAAAATTTATTTAGCGGTTCGTCAGAAATCGGAACTTCGAGGATGGGGTTTTCTTTATCTGTATGAACGGTGATGGTTCTGGAATCGTCTGCGACTTCGGTAGCCGTTATAGTCCTAGAGTCATCTAATGTGCGTACCCCTTCGGAGGGATTAGGTAAAATGGAAAGTAATTCGTCTATTATGGGTCTTAGCTCGTCATTGTGAAGCTCGATGCGCGATAATGCGTCGGCATTCGTGTTACACTTGCCTTGCTTATATACGACACTAAAATCGTACTCGCTCAACTTAAGGCGCCATCTGGTTAGACGCGAATTGGGCTCTTTTAAGTTCATGA